CAAAGAAGTTATAAAAACTAGCATCGAAAATAGTGACAAAGAAGAATATGATGCTATCGATGAAGAAAAGGAGACCAAAGAAGATGACCAGCCAATTAAGAAACCTGACACCTAATTTGCATCAAAGTTCAATTTTACAACACCAAAGTTAATTTTTACAACGTCAAAGTTAATCTTGACAAAGTCAATATTTCCCTATATATACAGCAAGTAGCACTGACGATGATTCATTCGGAATCGAAATATGGCCTTATTTGCAGCATGAATTCGAAAAATAAGTTTATTTTGAATTTTAATAAACTAAACGTTCACCAAAAAACTTTAGTGAGAAAAATCGAAAAAACGAACTACAAACATATAAACTTTTACATATAAAGATATAACAAATAAAATTTTAAGTTACTAAAATTCTTCAATAAAATGCTTCATTTAGAAGAGGCCATTAAAATATCATTTGTAAGATGTGATCAATATAAAGTAATGCCTAAGATGAAGTAATCATTTTCACTAAGTACGTTGTACTCATTAATCTTGAAGAAAATGAATTTTAAATAAATATCCGCAATAAACCATCGCTTAAAAATATTAAGCACTTTTATCCTTCATACCTTGTGTACTTTGAATCTAAGAAACCCATTCTTAACTTAATGAATCGTTTTAACAAGAAAACGTTATGAATATTCTTCAAGTACAACAACATCATTCATTCACTCATTTACCTATAGAACGTTCCGATATTACGTAAAACGAAGAAAACCTCTTTTTTGGTAGTTTCGCTCCCTGTCCCTTGTGGCACCCCTTAACAAAGTATTACCCCTTCTCCATTTAAATCTTACCCCTTCCCCAGTGCGGCCCACGTCCGGTTGGTTTCTACTGTTCTTTGATTTATTTTTAGTATAAATAGTCGTACAAATAAATTTATAAACACATTCCATTGCGCTCGTGTTTGTGTGTGTGTGTGGTATGTGTATATGTATATGTGTGTGGTGTGTGTGTGGTGCTTGTGGTTGTTTTTGACATGTTTATTAAGAAAATTATTGAATAGAAGTAACTTGATAGTTTTGATGCATGCCTTTATCTGTCTCTATTCATTCAAAACTTAACAGTCCTCGTGCAACCAAATTTTCTTTCATTGGCTGGGCGGGCTTAGCTAAATTTATGCCGCCAACAACAAGATAACAATAAATAACTGTGTGGATGTTTCTAGTATAACAAAAGTATAGTTCACTGCACCAGTCACATTATTTAGAAATTATCAGCTTGTTTGGTGGCCGGCCACTCTGCTGCTGTTGTGGTATCGGCTGGTGACATCTTTCAGGAATGTTCTTCAAAAGGCGCCATTTAAATCGAGTAAATAATAATAAGAATAACAGTTATTTATGTTTTATTTAGTTTGATTAGTTTACTATTGTTCCTTCATTCAAGCATTTGTTCGTTCGTTCACTCATTCATTCACTCATTTGTTCGTTTATCGAATTTTTATACAGTAAAATGAAGTATAAAAAATATTTATTTAATCCAAGCATTTTATTAGTATACTTCATTATACTGCTTAGTTTTTTTTTTTTTTACAATTAAACAACGCCAGTCTTCTGAACAAAGCCCGCTGTGACCAATTTGTCAGGTCGTATCATTAAGATTTAAAATCTACGCTGTGCTACTGCTCTGTTGTCGTGTTGATATCTTAATATCGAGGTATCATCATGTGTCGTGTGGATATCTTGATATCGGGGTATCATCATGTGTCGTGTGGATATATTGATATCGAGGTATCATGTGAAGTAACTCCTCTGAGATCAGATTGTGGGTTTGTTGTTGAATTTAATAGAGACATACTTTGTTTGATCTAATTACAATATTCTTATGCGATATTTCCTTTACAATTACTAAGGTTTTTTGGCATGCTGGTATTATGTTTTTGTTGCGTTGATTTTTGTATAAAGATACTGTTCTGCTGGTATCATGAATTGTATAGTTGGTATTATGTACTATATTGTTGATATCATGTATTGTATTGTTGCTATCGTGTGTTGTTGTGATGACGTTTTGAAATTATTGAGTTGATATAAAGATGTTCATGTATTAGTATACAGGTATCATTGAGTTGGTATCAAGGTATCATTGTGTTGCTATCAAGGTATCCTTCAGTTGATATCACGGTATTTTCACGTCGGGATTCAATTATGTACATATGATATTAAACACCTGAATGTCTCCAGCATCTGTGGTGAATTTATGATTCGTGTCATAGACTCTTATACGCAGATGTAGATATATGATTGTATTTGTGAGTGTATAAATAAATGTGTATGCGTGTATGTGTGTGTAAATACACACGTGTGTATGTATGTATGCGTGTGTTTGTGTATAAGCCCATATATTGATTACATATTCGCATAATTAAATAACTTTATACATCCTGCCGTAAATATGCCCATTTTTTTCGAGGTCGCTTGTGTAAAGAGGCTACAAGTGCCTCTGGGTGCGTGCGTGCGTATGTGTAAGTGTTGGCGTGTGTTTGTGTGTGCGTGTTTGTATGGCCGTGGGCGTTTGTTTGAGTTTTATGTATTTGATTAATTTATCTGTGTGTGCATGTGAAGTGCGGTTTATGATTTTCAGGGATTTTTAACACATTGAGAGTATGATGAGGATGAAGATGAGGATGAAGATGATGATATTGCTGCTGCTGCTGATGATGATATAGAAAGACATCACAGAAGTAATGTATAAAAATGGGTTGGATGTGGATCTAGTTACTTAAAGAAATCAAATCTTTTCCAGAAAACGGCCATTCATTGATCAACTAACATTAAAAATTAATTTGACCATCTACCGTTAAAATTAATCTACTTTACTTGTCAATTAGCATTTATTTATTATTCTTTTTTAGATTTTTTAAACAGATTTTTTTATAACTATGTCGAGAGTTAAAAACGTCGAGTCATGTTTGAAGTCACTAGTGGAATTGAACCGGCACAGAAAAAAATTTCGAAAAATTATTTCTTCCCATTTTATGTCATGCGATTTTTGCATGACGATGACAATTACCTTGTAAAAAAAAATTTCAAGAGTAAATTATAAATATTTATCATATAATATCATATAAATAGAAAAATGAATAGTAATAGATACTGATTAAACAAAGAAAGATAATAATAATAATAATAAATTTTTAATTTATTAATTTCTTTCCAAAAAGCAGTTTATAAAATCATATATCTTTAGAAATTTTAAATAAAATTTTTTTAACTCAAGAAGTTTAACTTATAGAAAGTTGTCATATTTATAATAATGGTCACCCACGAGTTTATAATTTATCAAATGATCAATAAATTAAACAACAATTTATATAGCGCAATTTTCCATACCTTCCTGACAAGCAATCACGAGTCGTAACGCTTCTTAATTGAAAAAGTCTCGAAAGCATACAAAAACTTGTAAAATAAAAACGAAATCAATAACAAGATAAAAAAAATCTACAAACACAAACCCAATTCAACATTCTTACCGACTATCTGACTGTCTGACATTAATCACATCACATCACATAGTAATAAGGTGAGTAGAGCGGTATCATTAAACACGTACAATGCACCGCGTCAAAACTTTGATGCCTGGCGACAAGTGCATTCGAAGCAGGACGTCAGCATGACTGACAGAAACAAGAGTTGCCCATTATGGCTGTCGAAAGAAATATTATTTTTTTATTTCATGTGGGCGTGATATAACCCAATATGGATGGAGAGCACGTCATAATCCACTTTCAAATAATTTTTGAGCCTCTTAATAAATGTCCCTCTGTGTGTATGGGTGCGTGTGTGTGTGTGTGCGTGTGTACCTCTCTCTCTCTTTCTTCTCTCTCTTTCTTCTCTCTCTTTCTTCTCTCTCTCTCTTTCTTCTCTCTCTCTCTCTCCATTTCTCTCTCGTTGTAAAGATTTCAGGATTAATTTTTCTCAACGATTAAAGTGTGAGTCTCGATTGTGTAGAGACAGATGTTTTTAACAGCCGTCAACAACGAGCAACTAATCCTCTCTAGACATGTCCTCTCTTGTTTGTCATCCAATTTAATGCTTAAATCCTCCCCTTGCTGATGGCACAACTTGGAAAGAGTCAGAAAAGTAGATGAAAAACTAAGTAATTAAGCAAATCAGCAAAGTACATTTTATATATAAAAATATTATTTATTGACATTTATAGCTATATATTTCTGCCTACATTTTATAAAAACAAAATCAATAATAATATAAACAAAATTACAACACAAATCCAATCCAATGTTTTTTCTGACTGACTGTCTGACTAATTGACCGACCGACCGACCAACCGACTGACAACAACATCATAACAATGATCAGTGTGGGAGTGAAAAAGCAAGCACGAACACAGACACACGCATACGCACAAACACTCCACCACACGAAAAATATCTGGGTATATATCTATTGATTCGTATGCAATATTTTATCGTTGCTTTTTTAATTATATTCAATTATACATTTTTCATCTTCGCGTTTATTGATTTTTTATACAATTTTTCATCACGAACATGTGCCCAATGAGGTTATCGCTGATATCAACGAAGCAGCAGAGTCCAATAAATCAAACTGATTATATGACAAGATACTAAAGAACATAATGTATAGTATGTAGCATTCAGTGGTCGTTAACAAACCACCATACCAGAATATCAGGCTGTTTTACATGAGAAAATTCGTTGACACGCATGAACAGCAATGTATGAAATGTACAATGTATGATACACGACGCATACACGCACGCAGAGAAAATGCAGACGAACATGTATGGGAATTCGATAGTTGATGAGAAGATAATTTATCATCTGACAACATAATAATACATCAGCCGTTGGCTGTTCTTCAAGTCACAGTATTACAAACACGTTGAATGATGCTATAGAGTTCTTGTGAAGACCATGTTAGTTACGATTGAATTAACAATCTTGAGTGAGTTAATAAACTTTATTTGGGCTTTATCAACACAAAAAAACTATACAGGTTCATTAAATTATTTTTTGTTGTCACATTTGGCAGAATTTATATCTTTAAAAGAATTAGTTTTCATTATAAAAAAACATCAAATAATTAAAATTTAAGATTTAGTAGTAAAAATTAAACGAAAAATAGGTATTATGTCACAAGAAATAGCTTGGTAATAAAAAAATAAATACAGATATCCATATAACTGACAAAATAATAATAACGTAACGTAGATAAAAAAATAAAATAAAACTTAAAATATCAAAAAATTATTATTTTTCAGTCGGTTCGTTATTGGAATCTTTAATTCTTTTTGGTGAATACTTGGTTCGTAGGTCAGAGTTGAGGCCCTCCCTATTCCTTGCTATCTCTATTGCAAGGAACTGTGTTCTTGGTACTAGGAAAAAAAAATTAGAATTGGCTTCATGTATTTTTTTTTATTTGATTATTTGATTTATATTTATTATGAATGAAAATTTACAAATGTAGAAGATGTAGAAGTGGAAAGCTTTGTTTACTTAGGGGATAAGCTGAATGCGGATGGAGGATGTTTGAGCGCAGTTACGGCTAGAGTTCGTGTGGGATGGATGAAATTTAGGGAACTGGGTGGGGTATTGTGTGGAAAGAAATGGTCAGTGAAGATGAAAGGGAGGGTATATAAAGCATGTGTGAGAGCAGCGATGATATATGGTGGTGAAACTTGGGTGTTGAGGAGAGAGGAGGAAAGTGTACTGCAGAGGGCTGAAAGAGCTATGGTGAGGATGATGTGTGGGGTTAAAGTGAAGGATAGGAGGAGTAGTACAGAGCTGATGTCAATGATGGGACTGAATGAGGACATTGTGACATTGATAAGGAGATCGAGATTGCGGTGGTATGGACATGTGTTGAGAAGGGATGAAAGGGTCGGGATTAGGCGAGCGTTGGAGTTCGAGGTTGAAGGAGTGGTAGGAAGGGGTCGTCCGCGATTGGGATGGAGAGAGCAGGTGGAGAAGGACAGGGTGAAAGCGGGGTTGCGTGATACTGAGGCGAGTGACAGATGTGGATGGAGTCGAGGGGTATTTCGGTTTCATCATAGGTAGCCAAACGGCAACCCCCGATCTCGGGAAAATGCCGTCTAAACGTGTGTTGTTGTTGTTGTTAGAAGATGACAAAAAAAATTTGATCATAAAAACAAAATATGAGTCTAAAAGATGTAATTGTAAAAATGTAAAAACAAAAACAAACCAATGATTGTATTATGCTCTGAAACATCAAGCGAACTGTCAAGTCTCAACAACGTCGCCATGTTCCAATCAGCTACTTGACTATTGAACTCTTCGCAGAACTCTCTCCATTGCTGCAAAATTAGTATTGGTGATGAAAATATTATTAAAAAAATTCATCTGAAATGGAAAAACTGATTTGAATAGAATGATCTAAAGATAAAGATAACAAAAAAAAGATAATTAATAATAACAAAATCATTGATCAATGATTTCTTACCTGTTTAGCTTCCTCCGATTTGATATCATTCTCAACTATTTTGTCAATCTTCAGATCTTTAAACTTTCCTCTGAATTTGGAGTATAACTCATTATCAAGTTTGCACAACTTTAACTTCGTTGGATCTACTGATATCAGAATCTGTAATTTAACATAGCAATAATTAAATCCAAATTAAACAGACCATGATTACATGACATAACCCATCATGATATTATATATATATATATATATATATATATATATATATATATATATATATATATATATATGTTTATCATATCATTGAATACTATATTTTGATCATAAACAAGTCAATGCACCACATAAATATAAATATTGATATTAAGAATTAAGTGATTACTCAATACTATTGAGTCAATAGTTTAATTTTTCTAATGAAGTGCTAAATTGATCTGTTGGACAATTAAATTAGTGTAATGGGCTTTTATTTTTTATAAATATAAAATTTTACTAATTAGATTTTTTTTTCCGAAAATAATTTAATTTAAAATTTTAAATAATTCATCCATTAATTAATTAATTAATTTTATATTAATTAAAATAAAATAAAACCAACATTGAAATATGTTTCAGCATGTTCATAAGCCTTTACTGCCCACATCATCTCAACTGATGGCTAACAAATAAATAAGATTTTTTAAATAATTAGTACAATGAATTCTGAGTTCTCAAAATCAAAACAACTGTATAGTGTATGTATTAGTATCATAAAATGATACTAAATCATATCAGTCAGTGTAGTCTGTTGTAAGTAAAGTTAGTTATTGTAGTTTGTAATGTAATGTAATATAGTGAGTGATGCACTATATTATGTCTTAACAAATTATGCAACCCATTTTGTTTTATTTCTAACTTCAATCATTAAAAAAATTGAACAAAAAAATCTAACATCATTTCCAAATTTATCAGCCGGTTCTTGCAAGATGGAGGCGATGTTGCTGACTTCAGCTTGATTCTTGTTGAAATAAAATTAAACATTATTTACATATTTTTTATTGAATTTTTGAACTTAGTGATACTAAACAAGAAAAACATGATCGAAACTCACGAGCGACGATAGGGCCATACTCGCATAGGTGATAATAAAATTTTCTTTAACGACAAAGAAAAACAATCTTCAGCTATGAAAATTTGTAATTTTCTATGGTCTAGGAATTATCAAAATTTTATTAATGAAAAATGGAATCGTAAAAAATTACAGCACAAACGTAGGCTATTTAATCAAATTTTATTTCTTCAAAAGATAGTATTTTTACAAACCATAACAACGTCAGACTGGTCTATCGAATTACCAACAAGGATTGAAATGAAGCACTTGACATGAAAGTTGACTTTAAAGTTTAAACCTTAACATCCTATGACGTCTTCACTGTCTTAACTTCTGCTAGGCAGTCCATCAGTACAAAACACCAGACGCGCTAGCATTTTTCAAAAACAACAAATTAGACAACAAAAACGAATTCTGGTTTTGTTTTGATAGAAAACCAACTAATTCCCCTACAATATCCAACAATCTGCCTCTATGTAACCATAGCGCAGATGCAGAAAAATGCGTATTATACAAAAACAAACTATTTAGCATAATAAACAATATTGATAAAATTTTAATTTTTGTAGAATTATCTTCTAATTGTCAATAATCATAATATTTTAGATTCGACCATTAATATTGTTTCATTGATTTTAAACGGCGGGGGCAGCTTTCTGTTTTTGTGCAAGGGCCTTCAGGTCAGCGATGCATTTCAACATGCTATCCTTCTCCTTGGGTGTGGTTATTTCATACATGTATAAATATGTTATCATCGTCATCAAAACCAACATTACCAATGCCTCAAATACCAATATTACCGTAATAATCAGCATTATTGCCATCACTATCACCATCAAATCAAACCAAGAACATCATCACATTATCACCATTATCATCATCACCTGTTGTGGAGTGATACCCTTGATGACGTTGCTAACTATCCAGTTTACCATATGCTTCTGTTCCACAGTTTTGTGCAAGTTCTCAACCTCCATGTGATAATCCTGAAAAAATTTCAATGAATAACCCGCATTTCATTTTTTTATTTCAAATTAAATTTATAATTGAAATAATTAGTATGAAAATATAAGATTAAAACTTATTAGATTAATAAAAATTTATTTTGAACCCACTTAAATTAAATTAAATTACTTAAATTAAGTAAACATATGAAATGCAATACTATATAGCAGCACAATTTTCGTTAAGCATGGTTAATAAATTCAAGTAAGTAAACTAAAACAAATGAATGAATAATTTAAAAAAAATTTTAATAAATTAATTAATTGCAATAGAATAAAATGATTATGATGAAATAAAACTGACCAATCTTCTTTTGACCCCTTGATGAACTTCAGCAAGTCTCTGCCTATATGCACTCTCCAATTGCAAATCTATATTTTCCTGTGTATTTTTCAAGTCAATCATTCGTTCATTCATCCATCCATTTAGTTATTCATTCGTTTGTTCATTTATTGTTTTCAAAGTTAACAAACAAATGGTATCTAACAAACTCATAAATTAAAACAAATAAACCAATTAAAAAATCAATTATTAAAATTTAATTAATAAAGTAATTGATTTAAATTAAAAAAAAAGAGATAAAACAGCAGCAGAACCCTTTTAGCATCAAAGATATATTTCTGGCCACCTTCTTGCCAGATGGTCTTCTCCAGATCCTTGATGACCTTCTCTGAACTCTCCCTCGTGTCTCTCAGTGGCTTCAAGAACATCTTCTCATCTAAATGCTGCAATACCATTTTCGTTATTTTGTTATTTTGTATAGAAATAATTTTATTTCATTTTATTTCATCAAATTAAATCAAAGAAATTATAAAAAATCAAAGAGTTGATGATCTGGAAACTAAAAATGAAAATAAAATATTGAAATACATCTATAAACTATTGAAATCATGCTGTTGTGGCATATAATTAATTATTCATTAACTATTTTTATTATTTTCAAAAAAATTTAATGAATGAAATAAAATAGACAAGTTTAAAATTAAGACCATAATAAAATATGCAGACATGAAGAAAACATAAACATGTTAGCATACACCACATTAATTCAATCCACAAAGAAAATATGGCAATGAAACAACAAAAACTGAAAATAAAATTCTTTAAAAAACTACCGACAAACCTCAGTTTTCTTGTCAAGAGCCTTTGCAATTCTATCTCCAAACTTCCTGTGAAGCCAGTAAAAAGCTAACCAAAATGCAAGAAAGTGTGAGAACTGATGCTCCACTATCACTATTTCTTTTGACAGCAGGTAGGTTATGAAGCCAAACCCAAACACATAGGGACCTTAAGAAAAGTTAGAAAAATTGTTAATTTGTTGTTTGTTGATCTTAATAAGATGAATAGAAATGCTTATACAATGTATTTTAAAATAGTAACAAACATGTGATGACAACAATAAAGTATTTTTCATAAGTAAACCAGTATCATCAACCTGTCACTCCTGTCTTATCATAAAGAGCTTGGAACCATGCTTCAGGAATAAAGCCCAATCTTGTAGGAGGGCAAGTTTCAGGGCGTCTCAACACCGGAAAATTTACCGTATCTCTCTGAGGTCCATAGAACAATTTGTTTGCACTGTCCCAATTTTCAATTGCCTGATTGAGTGAAAATTTGTAAATCTTTTCAAGTTTTCATATATGGGAAATTTGTTGAAGGTTCTGTTCAATGGTTTCATTAAAGTCAAAATACTACTTTTGTAATGACTAAATTTTTACATAATGATTAAATAAATGATGGTATTAATGAGTTAAAATTCATTAAGCAAAATAAATGTTCGTGCAAAACAAGTTTCTGTATGTAGGAATTAACATAGAATGTCAATGTATGACGTATGTGTAGTTAACAAAATTTTATTTTTAGAAAGAAAATCTTGTTCTTAGAAATTTAGTAGAGCATACTTTGGCTAGTTCATCCTTTGCTTCTTGGACCTTTGTAGCAGGTGGAGAGGTGGTTTTAACTGGGGCAGATGTTGTGGATGATAATCTTGTCAAAGTTGTTACTCCTAATCTGTGAAGATTAATTAGGATCTTAAAATGAATAAAATGTGAGCAATCTTCAAGTCTACTTCACTTGTCTACCCCTCAATAAAATCTTCCATCAATCAACCAATCCAACCAATTAATTTCAATTTTAGTTCAATGATCAAAACACACAAATTAAATTACCTGCCATTTTTCAAAGCAGAAATCAATCCTGAAATTAAAATGTGATAAGTTTTTTTAGTTGAGCGAAAATTAACAAAAATTAAATTTAAAATAGTAACCTTGAATAGTGAGCGATAATACGATTACACATTTTAACAATTAAAAAATCAAAAAATAAAATAAAAAATCCGAACAAATTAATAAAAATGTAACCTTGCTGTAAAGCCAACTTTGACAACATTTTGTCAAACTTTAACAAAAACTAACAAGGACGAAACACCAACAAACCAAAAGTATCGGAGCTGAGCCGAATCGAGCGATTAGTTTCGATTACGAGTTCTTTTCAAGTAGGTACTTAAAATAATTCTAATCCCATGAATTAAAATAGAACTCATTTCATAAAAATTTGTGAATTTAAGTGGTTGTGTAGAGTTTATTGAAATCTCAACTAAATATTTCAAGTTTATTTCAATAATTAAGCCATCTAATATAGTAAATTTTTTAAAAAAGCCAAATGAACTTATTCGAAAATGCAAATATATAAATCAAAAATGACAAATGAATGAGCTAAATAGTTGCACAGCAATTATTATAGTAGAGTAATTGTTGGTGATAGTTTTATTGCAAATGTGATCAAATTGAGCATTCTGTCCAAATAAAGATCAAGTAATGATCAAATTCGTCACATCACAAAACAGAGCTACTAAATCTAAACACTAGTATTTCAAAAAACAACGACAGCAAAAAATACCTACGTAACGAGTTATCATATATTGTACAGTTATAAATTTAAATGAAATAAAATCTAATGATCAACTACAGCAAGGAACTTTAAGACCGAGGTTATCAGATGTGGTGGTCGGTGAAATTTGAACATTGTCCTCGCGTGGTTGCCTTCTCGTTTTTTTGTTTAGTAAATTTCTGTACCAATCGTTTTAGTTGTCAGTGTCATTTTTTACTAGACTATTAACAATTGAAGATGTTTTGCTGACAAATTAACCGATATCATAATTATAACTTATGAAACAACTGACCTGGCAATCGTTTCAAAGGCTAGGTCAACATTGATAGCCGTTTTTGCACTTGTTTCCATGAAGTCAACTCCGAATTGCTTTAAAATTTTAATTCTCATTAAGTTCGTTCATCCAATACATGAAATCAATTTATAACTGTAATAAAAATAAATAGAGTTAAATTACTTGAGCAATAGCTTCGCCATCTTCTTTCCTAACTGCTCTCTCCGAAGTCATGTCCACTTTGTTGCCTATCAACATGATGACCACATCGTCTTGTGCGTATTCGTTTATCTCTGCAAGCCATGCCTGTAAAACAAAACATTAATGTCCTAACCGTACGTACCGATGTAAAGCCAGTCATTACAATTTACATCTATTGTATTAAAATTTAATTAATTATAATGGATGACTCTGACTGAAAGTAATGCTATGGAGCTTTATCGGTTGTGTAATGTTGTTGCCCTATAAAATATATGCGATATATGTCCTAATATATGTGTCGAGTACGTGATACTTAAATTATATATAAAAATAAAGACATCTTTCAATTGTCTGTGGCAATCGATAAGAGACAAGTCAATATTACGCCTTTAAATGTCAAGGAATGAAGAGATGGTAAAAAAACTATAGAATACATACACTTATGTTGTCGAAACTGAGTCTGTTCGTGACATCGTAGAGCAAAAACAGGGCTGGAAACGGGATGTTAAATGTTATTTTTAACATAATTAATTATTTCCATAAAAGTTTTCAATTAATTTGATTTTGTGCAAACTCTAACAAAAACAGAAGCAAAAAAGATGTGAAAGAACATGGGTAGATGTGAATGGATGTGAATGAACTTGGAACAAACCGTGGGCGTCTCTGTAATAGGCGTGTGTGATGCTTCGAAACCGTTCTTGGCCGGCTGTGTCCCAAATCTTAACGAAGAGTTTAATATTTTTCGTTTTCACTACTATACAAAACAGATGTAACTATATCTGTCGGTATTTACAAATTAATTATTTAATAATTATTAAAAATGACCGACTTGCAACTTCACATTGTACCCATCGATGCAAACAATTTTATTCTGCGAAAGAAAAAAGCAACAAAAAGTTATTTTGCACTATAAAACACATTTGAACGATCTTAACTAAAAATATTTTGTAATTATTTTAAAATTATTTTCACAAAATTAAACAAAAAAAAACATCTAACTGTGAAACCGATGCCGACAGTTGCTGCAAAAGATCCAGATTGAAATTTCTTCTGATCAAATTGCACGAGGAACGATGTCTTGCCAACACCGCTGTCACCAACCAGAATTGTCTGATGGTTATTTGTAGGAATGCTATGAAATCCTTTCCATCGTTCGTCACAACATTAAGTTTATTTGTCTAATGTTCTAATCCCAATATAACAATTTTGTAATATCTATAAAATAAACAAATTATACAAAAGTCTTCTTCTTACAATATGTGTTTGTATTACTCTAGAAAAAGCGTAAACGATCAAGATGACAAGAATTGAAACTACGAATTACATCCAAAAACGAGAAATTTACAATTTTATCAGCAAACTGACTACTCTTTGAATCATTTAGTAACAGTGAAGAGAATGCATTAACGAGTAACATTGTACGTACTTTGTGTATGGCGTTTTCATCATGACGTATCATTCCATCGTTCGCATTCATCATGCCCTTCCTTCCTCCTTTTATATTTTCAGAAATTTCGACTGGATAATTTTGTTGAAACTGAATTTATGTAATATAGAAGGCAGAGATCAGTAGCGTTTAGTTATAATTATGATGGAATGCATTTTGCCGACTCAGAAAATTTGTTTCAAGTGTTATATATTCCAATATTTTCCGTTAAGAGAAAATCATTTGATAAGTTTCCCGTAATGTCTGAACATTTAATTTAAATATTTTATCAAAATAAAACCTTCTAATTGATTTTGTTGTTAAATTACATTAAAATGATGAAAATCCCGTTTGAAAAGAAATGGCAGAAACGAGGAACTTGAAAAATTACACGATAAACAAAGCAGCACCCAGCGTCGATACGCAACATAAATCACAATTAACTATCAACAGAAATTTTCCCAAATGGAGGAACGCCAGTAATTAATTTAATTCAAAAGTTTCATAGAGTGCCAGCAGACCACAAATCCAAAACACATACACAACACACCACATCACATCTCTCTGCTTAGTTCGCGTTGAAACGCAGTCTTAAAATAATTTTCCGTAACGGCACATATATGCGTGCACAAGTAAATGTATATATATATATGTGTAAATATATATATGTGTATAAATAAATAAATAAATATATATATATATATATAAATGTTTGTATGTATGTGTATTTTTATGTGTGTATGTGTAATTTTATGTGTATGTGTGTGTGCGCGTGCGTATGTACGCAATTAATATTATTAAATACCGTAAAATATGCATCAACGGTATTAGCTTTAACATTTGTGGCAGACTTCTATCACACGATCAAATGAGTTATAAGCATTTTAAATATTCACCAACGTACAAAAATATGCAGGCAAACTTATGAAATGAGATATGTGAGCATGGACAGCATGGATGCCGTACGGAAAGAACGGTGTATGTAAATATCATTGTACCGATGTGTGCAATGTAAATACGTGCACGAAATTGCGTCCAGAAATGTGATGTGATTGGATATCTTGACTTAAATGTCATGCCATCTTACACATTTAATATTTTTTGCTGCTTACGTACCATTGAGATGCTTTTATCGGTTTGATCGCAGGGGGTACACAATGCCAATTTGAAAGTCTCTAATGCAACAGGTCTTTGTTTCATGACATACCTACATGATAAAAACCATCACTCTTCCGTTTTCTGCAAGCTTATATCATGTATGCTCTGGATTCGGAGCAATACACATTTGGAAAATTTTTATATTTTTAATATTTCAAATAACATCCTTTAACCTACATGTAACATAGCTGCTTTGGTGAGCATATGCTGACAGAAATAATTACATTTTCTCGGAAGCGCCTACGCACTACTTCAAGCCAACGTGAGGACACGTTCACGCAGAAATGAATTGATGAATAAACACCCAAATGATTTTCATTAGATATAAAGGAATAGTTCTTATAGCTCTTACGAGAAAGCCAAAACCAGTTAGTAAAGATGTCTAGTACGATTTGCAGCTAGGCTTCTGATAAGTAATGAAATTGTTTCTCAACTCCAACAGGTAGCGTTGAGAGAAATTGTATAATTAGTTGGCATCATGTGGCGTGCTTACACGTGTGTGTGTCTTCGTGCATTTGGGCGTATCTGTGCGCGTTTGTATGTATGTTATGTTTGGTTGTGGAAAATCTTGGCTCAATCTGCCGTGGCTATATTTGAGAACGACTGGATTGTGTGCACGCGTGGAATCGATCGTCTATGTGCACACTTCTTGTACGTGTAACGTGTGTACGCTGATATGTATTTACAAGAGAGTGTACACTGTTAAATACAAGTATGTTGGCATTGTATAATCACTTCACTGAGTACATTTGCTTCTTGTACACTGTTTCAATTGTTGAAAAAATTGTTTGAATAAGCTTTGTTATAAATTTTTCAGATAAAATTTGATTCATTTAAAAGAACGGTATTTGTTTTATGAAATTACTTCGTTTGCTTATCCTGATCGAAAAATAATTTTCTACAACCACTTATATATCTCCTACAACATAAAATCCGTCGTCTATGGTTTACACGTGTTTCTGTTTATCGCTCTCTTCTGTGTTTTTTTTTGCTATTTTTTGATTAGTTTGGTTTGATTTAATTAAATTAAAAAATGCAGTTGACGGATAAAAAGGTTTGTTGATTATTTTTAGGTTGATTTTTTTTAACTGTTTAAATGTCAGATTGTCAGCCAAGAATAATTTCTTTCTTCACAATGACTTCCATTTTTCTTGATCTGGACTTCTTTTAGATTTCAATTCATAGTTTATTTAATTTTTTAAGTTAAAATGGTATTTTTTAATTAAATTTGGTCAGGATCCAACCGATTGACTTATCTACATGTTAAAATTATAATTATAAATAAATAAATAGAAAATTTATATTTAAAAGAAAAATTCTGATGGTGAAAAAATGCAAGAAAACGACCATGTGATAATTGTTGACGATGAAGATGATGGTAAGAACGCAACAGCTACTACTCCAGTTAAAGCTAAGAAATCAAAGAAAAAACACGATCATAAAATTAAAAACATTGACGTGGCTGACACAACGACTACCACACCGACAATTACTAAAACTAAAGATCCAGATACTAATGACATCAGAACTGCTGGTGAAAGTGGCAAGAAAAAATCTAAAAAACGTAAAAATGAAGAGACAGAAAATAATAATATAGAAAATGAAAAAATAAGAACAGGTGAGGTTGAAAATGGTGAACCAAAGACAAAAAAGGCCAAAAATTCTAAATCTTCTGTGAATAATGTTGAAAATGGTGATGGGGAAAACAAGGGCATAGAGAAGATAGGTGATAATGAAAGTAATGAACTCAATGAAAAAACAAAGAAGAAAAAAAAGAGAACAAAAAGTGAGGAAATTAATAGAAAAGTTGAAGAGTGTAGTGAAAAACTTCCTAAATCTAAAAAAGAAAATTCATCAGAAAATGATAAAACAGTTAAGAAGACCAGTGTTAATGTCAAAAAGTTTGTTGAAGAACAAAAACAGGAAACAAAAAATCATGATGAAAAGGATGATGACGATGAAAGTGATGATGATGATAATGATCTTGGCTCTTTTAAAAGATATTCTCTTTCCAGTTTTGTGGTAGAGAAGTTGAAAGGTTTCAATTATGTTCATTTATTATCTTCTTAACTTTATTTAAACACTCATTTATATCGATCATAATAAGTTAGATTTGCAAAGATAATCCATCAAGGATATTAATATTGTGAGCCTAGTGAAATATAATGCATTGATCATCATTATTAAACAATGATTGTAAATTATGGAAAACCAAAAAAAACCCAAAACAGAGCAAGGAATAAAAAAGTTATTCCCAGTGCAATATGAATCATTTAATGATATAATGTCTGGTGCAGATGTCATTCTTCAGTCAAGTTAGCTCTATGTCCAGCATTTATTTTTTATTCTAATTATTATTTCACATTAATGCTATTTTTTAATTTAAACATTATAATATTTCAATGGCTATGTTATTGTATTTATATTAAAGTTTTGAAACTTTTATTCGTTATCTATGCTAATATTTTGCTGTATATTTTGCCCATTCAGGAACTGGCTCTGGGAAGACTGTGAGTTTCAATCTAGATCAAAATTGAATTTATTTAAATATAAATAAAATAATAATAATATAATTATTATGCTATTGTTGGTAATAGCAATCGTAATAATAAGATAATAATAAAAATTAACCACCCAAATAAATATCCTAATGCAATTCACCCTCTGTTTTTTTATTTAGTTTTCATTTGCAATACCACTGATAGAGATGTTGCATGCATCCCAACTGCAAGCTGATCCAAGTGCCAGATTAAGCGGGAGAGCACCCCAGGTTAATAAAATTCATCATCATTCCTTGGCATGACATAAAACTGCATCCACGCTGCCTTGCGTGCTTTTGAGCAAAAGGCTAGGCCCACCGCTTATAACTGGCGATTGTCGTCAGGATGGGCGTCCGAATGTTAAAAGTTTCCCCAAAATTTATTCCATGCCATCACAAAAAACATCATCATCATTAGGCATAATCACTCATTGCTTATCATCATCAGTCGTCTCTTTTTAATCACTGCTTAACATCTTAATCATCATCGTCGTCGTTGTCGTCATTGTCATAAACTTCATCACTTTTTCAATGGTATTAATATGTGTATGTGCATCATCATCAACTTAATTACTATCATTAGTTGTAGTCATTCATCCTCATTGCATTATGCTATCATCACAAACAAGGTCTTAGTGTTAGCACCGACACGAGAGCTAACAAAACAAGTGGCTGATAGTATATCTAGCATATCCAATGATATGGTATCAGTGCTCTGTGTGTATGGGGGCACACCTGTTTACCCACAGGGTTTGTAATTTTGGGGTGATTGTTCATATAATTTTAGTTATACATTAGTATTATTACGAATATTATTAAGTATTATAACTACTTATAATTACTATCATGTCAGATAAGATGTCTATCTAACCTCTAAGATTTGATAACTTTTTTAGCTGGCATTTTATTCTACTTTTTGTTTTGTCTGTATTAAGTTAAAAATGTTTTATTCTGTCAATTATTTTTACTGACGTTGAAAGTTGAGATAATTGTCTTTATCAACAGCACCAAATGAAAATCATTAAAATGACTGTATTTTAATTATACGTTAACCCAGAACGTGCCCTGCAGAATGGGGTGGATATTTTAGTGGGCACACCGGGGCGGATCCAAGATTTGATTGACAGGGGTGTCTGTGATCTCTCATCCCTGAAACACGTGGTGCTGGATGAGGTGGATAGAATGCTTGATATGGGCTTCGCTGATGACGTTGATAGGATACTACAGTATAGATATTGTTCAGGCTAGTGGAATGAGTGAATGATGAATGAATTAAAATAATAAATCAATAATTTGCCACGAATTTTGTTAGTTTCTTGTTTGGAAATAAACCTTAACATTTATTTCTCAATTTGTCTACAGTTTTATTTAAATTTTATTTGGGAAAATTTAATATGAAAATTTACTAATTAGTTTGATATTCGTTGAATCTGAAACAGATGGTAGCAGAGAGAACCCACAGACTCTTTTTTTCTCTGCCACACTACCTTCCTGGGTACAGCAAACAGCATCCAAGTATTTGAACAATGCTGTGAAACGTATCAACCTCATTGGGCATGGTGATAACAAAACATCGAAAACTGTACAGGTATGTTGTTGCAATTTGTTTTCTACTACTTCCTACTTTTACATTAATTTTTTTTTTAATTTGTAAAATTTCATCGTGTAACTATTTGAAATTATGATTTATTCGAGATTTTGTTGTAAGATAATGTTCAATATCTCGCCTGCAGCACCTTGCCATCCGATGCAGCTACCAGGACCGAGCAGCTACCATCAACAGCGTGGTTCGCGTCTACAGTGGCAACCAGGGACGGGCCATGATTTTCTGCAAGACCAAAAAAGATGCGGATGAACTGGCTCTCAGTAGTGAACTGACAGTTGATGCGCATGTCATTCATGGAGATGTACCTCAGGAGAAGAGGGAGATGGTTCTCAAGGTTCATTGATTTTTTGGTTTTTGCAATCATGATTTGTATTTTTCAAAATTTCAGCCAAAACTTCAAGTTATAAATACAATTGAAATATACAATCATAGTTATAATAGGATAGATGATAATAGTAATAATAATAATAGATGAGGAGGAAAAAGCTCAGGTGTGGAAAGCTCATATGGAAAGGTTGATGAATGAAGAGATTGAGTGGGATGGAGATGTGGAATCCGTGGTCACACACGGACCTATAGAGAAGGTGACGATGGAGGAAGTAGAGAAAGCAGTTAGAGAAATGAAACTAGGTAAGGCGACAGGGGTTTCGGAAGTGGCGGCTGAACATATTAAAGCGAGTGGGGTGATAGGAATTGAAGTTATGATGAGAATTGCTAACAGTATGTTTGATGATGAAGGTATACCTGAGGATTGGCGACACAGTGTGTTGGTGCCGTTGTATAAGGGCAAAGGAGATGTGAGAGATTGTGGGTCATACAGGGGTGTGAAATTACTAGAGCACGGAATGAAGGTAGTGGAGAGGGTGCTTGAGAGGAGGTTGAGAAGTATGGTGACAGTTAATGAAATGCAGTGTGGGTTTATGCCTGGTAGGGGAACGGTGGATGCGTTGTTCATGGCGAGAATGTTGCAGGAGAATTATAGAAAGAAGAAACGAAGATTGTACATGTGTTTTGTGGATCTAGAAAAGGCTTTTGATCGAGTACCGAGGAAGGTCATTGAATGGGCGTTGAGGAAGAAAGGAGTGAATGAGAGACTTGTTAAAGCTGTGATGCAGCTGTATGAAGGGGCAAAG